CCATATACAACGAAGCTGGCAGCTTCTAATCCAGCCCGGGCCTGCTAAACAACAATGACAACTACAACCAAAAAACAGCTGGGCATTGTAGCAGGCGCCTGTAGTCCCAGCTACTTGGGAAGCTAAGGCAAGATAATCACTTAAGCACAAGAGTTTAAGGTTGCTGTGAGCTGTGATGCCACAGCATTCTACTGAGGGTGACATACTAAGACTCTGTCTCAAAAAAAAAAAAAGAGCATTTGTGGTTAGAACTAAGGAACCTATTAGAATGGCTATCATTAGAAAAAAAAAGTGTTGGTGTCAATGTGGAAAAGTTAGAACCTTCATACATTGCTGGTGGGAATGTAAAATGGTGCAACTACTGTGGAAATGGTTTGTCAGTTTTTCAAAAACTTATTTCTAGAATTACAACGTGACTCAGTAATTCTACTCTTAGATAAATACAAAAAGAATTGAAAACAGGGATTCAAACCAATATTTGTACATCCACATTCACTACAGCATTCTTAATAATAACCAAATGATAGAAACAACTCAAATGTCCATCCATGAACAGGTAAACAAATTGTGGTTTATATATACAATGAAATAGTATTCAATCATAAAAAGAAATGTTCTGGTACATACTACAACATGTATGAATCTTGAAAACATTATGCTGAAAGCAATGAGAGAAGCCAGATACAAAAGGACAAACATTGTATGATTACACTTAGATGATAAGAAATATTTAAATTAGGCAAACTCATAGAGACAGAAATGAGATAAGGATTGGGGGGAGGAAACAATAAGGAGTTATTGCTGGATTAAATGAGAATTTGGGGGAGTACTAAAAAAGTTTTGTGGCTCAGCCCTGTAGCTCAGCTGCTAGGGGACCAGCCATGTAGACTGGAGCTGGTGGGTTTGAATCCAGCCTGAGCCTGCCAAACAACAATGACAACTACAACCAAAAAGCCAGGCATTGTGGCAGGCACCTGTAGTCCCTGCTACTTGGGAACCTGAGGCAAAAGAATCACTTAAGCCCAAGTGTTAGAGGTTGCTGTGAGCTGTAATGCCATGGCACTCTGCCAAGTGCAATGTAATGAGACCGTCTCAAAAAAAAAAAAGTTTTAGAGAGAACTTGATAACTACATGTAAAAGATTGAAACTGGACCTGCACCTCTCACCACGTACAAAAATTTACTCAAGATGGATAAAAGATTTAAATCTAAGACATGAAATGATAAAAAAAACCTAGAAGAAAGTGGGAACAACTCTTGATGAGGTTGGCCTGGGGAAAGATTTTATGAAGACTTCAGTGGCAATCACAACAACAAAAAATAAACAAATGGGATTTAATTAGGCTGAAAAGCTTCAGCACAGCTAAGGACACAACAATCAAAGCAAACAGACAACCTTCAGAATGGGAAAAGATATTTGCAGTTATGAATCTGACAAAGGGTTGATAACTAGACTCTATAGAGAATTCAAATTAATCAACAAAAAAAGAGCAAACAATCTCTTCTATCACTGGGTAAGACACATGAACAGAAACCTTCTCTGAGGAAGACAGACAACAAATGGCTAACAAACATATGAAAACAAATGTTCATTATCCCTATCATCAGAGAAATGCAAATCAAAACCACCCTGAGATATCACCTAAACCCCAGTGAGAACAGCCCATATAACAGTCTCAAAGCGACAGATGCTGGTGTGTATATGGAGAGAAGGGAACACTTCTATACTGTTGGTAGGACTGCAAACTAATAAAGTCTCTTGGGGAGGAAGTATGGAGAATCCTCAAAGAACTACAAATAGATCTTCCATTTGATCCTGCAATCCCAATGCTAGGTATCTACCCAGAAGAAAAAAAATCATTTTGTACTAGAATGTTTCCCACAGCTAAATTTACAATCACCAAGATGTGGAAACCACCTAAATGTGCATCAACCCAGGAATGGATTAACAAACTGGGCTCGGCGCCTGTGGCTCAAGCGGCTAAGGTGCCAGCCACATACACCTAAGGTGGCGGGTTCGAATC